TAAAGCCAGGATGACACCCATGAATTAAATACTATCTGGTTTAGGACCCTCGCACAGCCAGATAACCAAGCAGCAGACTCCCTAATGTTATCCAGGAACTCGTAATCGCGAATGCACCCTGGATATCCACCTTCCAAATAGACCAAGAAACACCAAACACTAGGCTCGCTGTGACGATCAATACAACAACAATGAAGTAAATCGATCTCCAATGCCATCCCTCCTCGAAATATACACCCCACCCCAGTGCCAATTCCTCACGCGACGCCGCGAGATGCCCCGATGCATGTTTGGGCAGCTGGTTAAAGATCGTGGTCTGCATTTCCGAAAGGCATTGCGGATGTTTGAAGTAATGGATCAGGTAAATCAGAACCACAGAAAACTCTGACCGGCTACCGGCGCGGCGCCCCAGATAAGCGGTACCCCATATCGCGGGGGAGGCGCGTGGGGGAGTCTCCGGGAAAGGGGTGGTCAGCTTACAGAGTCCCGTTCCAATCGAGCCGCCGATGGCCATGAGCTGGGCGTGGCGGGGACTCAGGCCGCGCTTGGTCTCGCCGTACTGGGTGACTATGGCCGCGCCGCCGTCGTTGGAGATGACGCCGCCGGCCTGGATGTCGGAGGAGGCACTGCCGCTGGGTGAGCGGCCCAGGCCGATGGTTTTCTCGTCGGGCGGTGCGGCGCCCATGGTTGCTGCTGCGACGGAGATTCGGGGGAGGAGGGTCTGGTCTAGTATCAGGGACTCCTCTCAGGGTGGATGAGCCATACAACTGCGAGTATCCCGACGACAATTATTTCGACAAAGATGGCAAGCCACACCGTCATCTCGGCCGCGAGGGCTGGTCGGTCAATTCGCGGTCACAAAAAAGGCGGCAGTGGTGGGACTGCTGGTCAACCGCGCTGTTAATGGATCGCGGAGGAGCCGAGATTATTAAGCCTCGAGTGAATGGAACCATAACCATATTGGCCGAGAGGCTTTCAGGACTTCTGTTAGACGCCTAAACTGTATCGCTGAATGGTGACTTCTTTTAGGACCATTTAAGCTGCTATCCTATGGTTTGTATGCTAGACGCCGACTTTATTTTGTATTTTGGGCACACCCTCACCATCCAGAGTGATTGCCAGGCCGACAGGGACCGGAGTCTACGATGGCTACGGTCGAGCCGTGCGTCCGCGCCCTCGGAGATGGGATACAGGCTGGCTGGTGGCGGCGTGGGGGATGCGGACATATTCCGCCTCCATCGATGACGTTGCCCAGTATCCAGCCGCCGGTGCGGTAGTGGGAATATATACCCCGGCCGCAATAGTTGTAGGCACTGCAGGCGGTAATGCATGAGATCAGCACTGCGGTCGCCCGACTTGAACACGGTGACGCCGGGGCCCACCACATCCATCACGCTCACTCCCTCATAGCCCAGGATGCGGCACATCGGCCTTTTAGGATATGCAAGTCGGTGCCGCAGATGGTGGTTTTGGTGATGCGGACGATGGCATCGCTGGGGTCCTTGATTTCCGGCCCGGGTCGCGACCCCTCGCATGCCCGACGTGCCTCCGCATGTATCCGTCCATTTAACCTCGGCTATTGTTACCTACACCTGCGCCGCACCCGTAAAAGGCTTGACCGTGCTAAGCCCATGCATCCGTACTGCGAAAGAATTTTGCGATTTGTTTAAGCCCGCCGTTGATGGAGTTCCTATTGGTTTAAACCCGTATCTTCCCCGGCTCTGTGGCGTCATGTTCCTGGATTGCCAAGGGCAGTCCTGGGATAAGGGAGAGATGTCCCATCCCCGGGAGAACGTCGACAGCTAGAAGCGGCTTTTGGGTTGGGTGGGTTGGGTGGGGTTTGGGTCGGACACGACACTAAACCAGATAACGAATGGCTTACAACTGATCTATGACGATCATTGATGCTGAGAACGCCGAGTGTGACGTAGCAAAAGCCAGATTCGGTTGGAAATTGCGGAGGCATTATTACCCCACCATTCAGCAGCCAAAATTCGCCCTTCACGCTCCACCTTCGATGGGACCCACGAGCAGGAGCCGGAAGTGGCTCTGATAGCCAGAAACGGCACGCGACTGTTTATTAAGCCAATAAGTGTCATTCTATGAAATCCACATTGACCGGTGGAATCCCACCCGTTACTGTGGGTACTCCTCAGGCCAGCCTTTTTCGGTACGAGTAGCGGGAGCCCCACCCTTCTCCGCGGCCCGTCCTCAAGGCAAAGGTTGGCTTATGGGTGCCTTAGGCACAAAATACCCCACCCCCAAGCTCCACATCTGGCGGTCCTCAGCCCTCAAATGCCGCTGTTGATGTGCACCGCCGACTACATCATCTTCATCTTCCTTCCTTACAGCCATGACTGGATGAGACGCGGCCCGACGCAACATGGCTCCTGTTGATAAAATTCCCGCCGGCGATTTCGGCGACGACCTCCTCGTATTAAGCCTCGACCAAGCCCGGCATATCAACCAGTTCCGTACACAGATCCGCCTTTGCGAAACCGACACGGAGAAATATGAACTTTGCGCGCAGACCCGAGACGACGTGCTCGAGTGGCATACCGAGGTGCAGCTCCTGATCGCTGCTTATGAGCATATAATAGTGGACGAGTGTGTCGGATACAAAGAATGGAAGGAGAAGGGAGGAGAAGGGCAGGGGTTACCGATCAAAACCAGAGAGGATGCGGCCAAGTGGGAGAGATTTGCCGACGTGGCGCGAGGCGGATCAGAGGTCAAGTCCAAATGTATCGGTCCTTTGAAAACGGTAAACCGATATTGGGGCGCAGATTTTGTCCAGCACTACCAGTTGGCTTCTAAGGGGGTAAGATATTGCGAAGTTACCGGCGCCGCAGCGCGGGGGGTTCGCGATTTGGACGAGGCTGTGACGAAGTTGAACAGATTGATGCTGTGGCGGCATTTGGCCACCGGGCGGGGGCTGCGTCGACCGCGCGAAGTGGTCAACCCGATCGACCAGGCCGATCTAGTAAATCTAAAGGCCTGGTCGCACCGAGATTCATTCGACAAGGGCAAAGACTCTCTTCCGTACCGGAAACTGGCTGCTGCCGACTTGCCTCCCGGCTTTGGCTTCGACAAATTTGGGCTCATGGTGCGAAAGGAATTTGCTGTCTCGTTGCCCGCCGACACCATTGAAACGGCAGCCGCGTTCGGTGCTGATATCACTGGACGCTCGGGACCGAACGACGCCTGCAACGTCGGCGTGCCGGGGCTTAATCCCCTGCACGGCGCCAGCTCGGGGGATTCGAACTTCGGCCGTTTCGTCGAACAGGTTCTCGATACTGTCCTTGCGCATGAGGAACCAAACGGGCCATCCGCCGCCAACGAGAGCAGTGAGGACGCTAGCTCTACAGAGCGTCATACCGGCGCCGCCCATTCCTTTTCTCTGGGTCGCTCCCAGTCGACAACACCTTTGAGCTCACCGCCAAAGTCCCCTCCTCTCGCCGCCCCTGCCGTTGCCGGAGTCCTATCCGGGGATGCCGCACGGGATTTGGCGGACATAAGTTCATCTGGCGATACCGACGCCGACGATCGCCTGCACCCCGAACGACAACCATCCCGTCAGATCCTTCGCTCACGAGCAAGCACTGACAAGTCGTGTGGCAGAGCAGCGGCAGAAAATGCTCAAAACGCGGACCGCCAACACGCCACCAATGCTTCTGCAGCACGACTCCGAGCACGGAGTGGCAAGCCAGGCTACCACGAAGCACCGCCGAAAAGGTCCAAACCACTCCGTCAGCCCGAGCTGCTCAGCACTGCGCGTTTGCAGGAGCGATGTTGTCCACCCAAAATATCATCAACGCTACTAGCGTTTCTGGACAAAATGGACGGCATCGCAACTGGGCAGATGCCTACATTCATATTGGTCGGCGTTCCTTTTCAGAACATGTGTCATACACATCTCAAAAAGTACACAGAGGCAGTCACCAGCACGGAGTCCTTCGGCTCATCTCCAAAGGCGGAGAAGGAGCTCCAGATGGCCAGCCTTGATACAAGCGACACTCCCCGGCGCCGGCGTGCCTCGCTTTCCGAACTCATCGACACTACCCCTCTAAAACGGCTGCGGTCTGCTGATCAAGATACGTCGGGCCATAGTTATCTGCCGGCCACGACGAGCCTAAACGGCCGGCCAAAACATGATTCAATTCGCGATGAAGCCTATCGCTGGCGAGTGCTTAAGGACATGGAATCAACGGAACATGAGCCCAATTCCTGGGGGAGCCAAACGGACGCATTGGTTTCCCAGATCCTATCTAAGAGCAGGTCGCCCACGGGCGAAGATGCATACTTCCTGAGCGGAGAGGAAGCAGCCCAACGTGCAGAGCTTGGATCGGTCGACGTGCCTATTTTCACGCAAGGCCAGCAGCGATTCCAGTGGAAGGGGAAGGACCGCCCAATTTTACAGCTGTTCTATCACATGGAAGACCTTGGCCTCGATCGGACTGTGTCCGTTCAGGTGCCCTCTCGCAGTTCGCTCAAGGAATCTTCGGAGCGTAAAACGCTTTTCCAAGTCCGAAACCGGTTCCTCGACCAGCGGTCAACAGGTGACCCCTGGAACCTTCTCGATCTGCAGGGTTCATTGCCTTCGACCCTGCCGTCTTTTTTGGAAGGCGACAACTGCCAACTTCTCCTCCGAATGCGCGATGCCATTCTAATGGGCAACGATGCTCAAAGGATAGCAGCATCTGGAGAAGATTGGAACACATGGCGCAACGTCGTAGAATGGGCACTCCTATCTGAAGGAGGACATAACACGGCGCCGCATATGGACAGCCACGGCTATTCAACCTGGATTACGGTCCAAGAAGGAAACATTGGCTTTGGATGGATCTCGCGCCCAAGCCAGCAGGAAGAAGATGAATGGATAGCCAATCCGCATGGCTATACCGGTGGTGAATGGAGATACGTCATTCTCTCACCGGGGCATACGGTGTTCTTCCCCTCTGGCACGATCCACTTCGTCTTCAGGGTACAAGGAGTACAGACATTTGCCCTCGGCGGCCACGTCCTTCAATGGTCTGGCATTGAGCGGTGGCTTGAAGTGGTCGTCGCTCAACTGAAAAACCCGGAGATTACTAACGAGGACATGGCATCGAGTGCGCCAAAGTACGTTCAAGTCGTCAAGCGACTTGTTGCAAACGGGATGAAGGCTGGCCGGGTGGAAGAGATGGGCGGTCGAGATGCAGTCGCCAGACTGTCCGCCTTACTAAAGGTAAG